AGAAAGCAATAAAATACTATTTTGGCAGTTTTTTTCTTAAATGTACATTCCACTAAATTGAGATTCTGCTGCTGTGATAGAGATGTGCTCTCTTCAGTCATGAACTCCTCTCTGCACATCAGCATTTTTAAGCTTGTTTGACAGATGTGCACTTGTTTTAAATTGTTGCAATTCTATAAATGCTTGTTTATAAAAGAAATTCATCATAGATTTTTGATGCATTTTCCCCCTTCATTTACCAAAACTGTGATATATTGTGGCTGGTTTTCTTGTGATCTATCAATATATCTCAGAATCATTAATATCGTGATTGAAGCAGCAGTGCCCGGAACAGTAGCAAAATGCTTTTTTATGAACTTGGCGATTAAAAAAAAATAAGCTTCTGATTTATACAATTGACAGTTGGCAAATACACTGCAAAAATTATTTTCTTTCTTACAGTTTTTGTGTGATTTTTAGTCCAAATATCTAAAAATTCTTAAACCAATAAACATTTTCTAAACAGATTTTTAGTCAAAATTATGTGAATTTTTCATTAAAAAAGCTCAATAATCTGCCAATTAGGGTAAATAAAAAAAATAGTGTTTTAGGTTTTAAATAAGATTATTTTACTTATCTCATTGGCAGATTAATTTGTTTTACAAAAAAAATTCACTTAATTTAGAATTATTTCTGAAAACTGAAAAATGTTTGTACATATTTATTAATTTGATTGATATGCGAGTATGTCTAGAAAATGCTTCCTGATTTAGTTTGATTTTAATTTAAATAGATGTTTTAAGTTATCTGAACTACAAAATACAATATGAATTTTTTTCAGTATTAACATTTATATCCTATTTTAAAAAATGTATCTTTATTGTCACTATGTTTGACTGTTTGGCAGCGTCTTGTGCCTGAATAATAATAAAAATCAGTATGTTATTGGCTACTTCCAGCTGCTTTTGTTTCTGCCAGCCCATATTAATGTTTTGTGTCTAATTATTTAGATTTGTGGCAAGTAGTCATATAAAAAGTTGGATCAATAGGAAGTTGTTTCTGCAGAATAATATTTAGAATTGTCTTAAAACATATATGACATTTATGATGTAAGCAACACAGCTACAGCGAATAAAATTGATAATGTGTGTTTTAAATTTATAGTGTGCGAATTATCAAGGATTGAAGATAATTTGTCATATTGTTTGCACCAAAGGGGCCCCAAATAAAATCCTGCTTAGGGCCTCCTGAAGGCTTGGGCCGGCCCTGAACTAAAGCCAGTAAATAATTGAAAGTGGAAAACGAAAAAATGTTTGAGGATGGCACTGAGAAGAGAAGAGCTTGAGCCATAGTTGTTTGAATCGCAGTACATCATCATCGAGTATGTTTACATAGACACCAATAATCTGATTATAATGCGATTAAGACAATACTCTAATTAAGAGTCTACCATGTTAACAGCAATTTTTAAAAATTTATTTATTCTTATTAAGGTAATAATCAAACTAAACAGAAATCAGATTAAGACATGTAGTCACCTTAGAATTATAAGGTTCTATCTGACATTTTTGTCAAAATTTTGTTATTGACATATTCTTATCAAATGACAACTTATTTACATTATGGGATGTTTTTTTTAATAAGTTGTTTACATTTTAAGACTTAAAACTATTATTTAAAAAACAAATGTTACACACATAGGGCTCTATTTTGACGATCGAGGCGCTAAGTCCAAAGCACAGGGCGCAAAAGCATTAAGGGCTTGTCCGAATCCACTTTTGCTATTTTAAGGATTGAAAAATCCACTTTGCGCCTTGGCACATGGTCTAAAAGGGTTGAGCTTATTCTCTTGATGAGTTATAGGTGTTTTGACAATAAACTAGAGTCTCATCTCCCATTCCTTTTAAGAATCAGTTGTCGCGCCATAGCGCATTTGCTATTTACATGGCAGACTTTGTAAGTGAAAAAACTGAACGCTTCACTAGAGAGAAAACAGTTCAACGGAGCATCTACAGCTCGAGAATGAGAGATGAGCCCCCTCATGTTTTACTTTCACTTTCACTCTCGTCGATAAGGAAACGTGTTGTACACATAGACATCCATTAGCCTATACATAATTTTGTTTATTAAGTGCAAATATTTGTTTCAAAACTATTTCTAAATTCAGTTCTAATTTCCAGCAAACAAATAAATGAACAATAATAACAAAGTGTGGTCAAAAAATATCCAAATACACATGCTGTGCCCCATATGGTCTAAAACCTGACAGGTGGGCAAATCTAAGCTTGTTTTTAATAAAACAAATATAAATATGCATATAATAAATAAAACTGCTAGTAATAATAACATTATACAAAAGCAAATTTTCATGAATAAACTAAAAAAGCCCCTCAAGATGAAGAAGGCATGGAGGCGGTGGTTTTTATATTTATGTAGAAAATAATAATTTTTGTAATATTTTAATCCTTTAATTCTTTTTCCATCTGTAAAGATATTTGCGTATTGCTGTACATCATGTGTGTATTAAGCATTGTTTAAGTGAGGCGCACAACTGACGCGATCTGCGCTGAAATTTACTCTTCCACTTAGCTGGTCTATTGAACAGTGTATTTTAGTTCCTCAAAATAACAACGCCCTTGCAATGCGCCTTAAAATACCTCCTTTTTTAAACCAGAATGCTTTTGGGCACACATATGAGTGCAAATGCATTTGCTATTTAAACAGTGTGGTTCAACACGTCAAAATGATTCTTGCGCCGAGCTGAAACTAGCAAACAACAATTGCATCGCACCTTGCGCCGGGTGTATGATAGGGCCCATACTGTTTGCTATATGGAATGCAAAATCTTTGAATCTTAATATCTCAAAATCATTCAGAAGACAGATAGAACCTTATTATTCCAAGGTGACGATGTGGTGTATGCCGATATTAGTGGCATTATTGAAGTGCAGTACAGACATGTAAACACCTTAATCAAACTATTACCAATTACCATCGTGTTGGATTTTCGCTGCATTTTGTGACAGGACATTCTATACACACACTACTGTTTGACACTATTCTCTGCATCTACAGAGTCCATGAAGCACCGCAGACATCTGCATCACAAAATGTGAAAGTTTTTTTTTTTTTTTTTCTCCATATGATGTGCGGTATCAAATTCCATTAAAACACCACTCTTCCAGTAATTCATACTCGCGTTTGTCACGGCTAGCATCCATGAAATGTTCCTGAATGAAAGTGAAAGTTCCAAACTGCAGTTTAAATTGACAAATTAAAAATTAAAGACCCAAAATTACATGAAACTTCAATGGAAATGTGGATCGCGTGATGACGTTAATTGAATTTTGTGCTATAACATGTAAAACGTAATCATGAAACATTCAAAAAGCAACTCATGTAAACACCTTAATTATATTATTGTCTCATTCAGATTAAGGCAAATAATGTGATTACTGATGTCCATGTAAACATAGTCTATGTCGTTGTCATGAGTGGAGTCAAATTGGACATGCTGTTATTCAGCCGCTTTACCAACAACATTTTAAAGCATGGAAGAGCCAGTATAGACTGTAAAGCTATTCTGACGGTGTTTATCTGAAAGAAGTAATTCATATACACTGAGAGTGGCTTTAGGGCAGTGGTCCCCAACCCCCAGGTCGCGGACTGTTACCGGTCTGTGGATCAGTTGGTACCGTGCCACAAGAAATCATTAATTATTTCAATTTTATTTATTTTATTAGTCTGAACGATCTTTTATTTTGAAAATGTTTTTATTTTGAAAAATGACCGTATTCTTTCGGTTACATCTCGGTCACTTGACTGCCAAATAGTTAACCCACAATCTAGCAAAGTGAGTAAGAAACAGACGTCTTTAGAAAGTTCCTTTGGAAAGGGGAAAAGGCCCAGTGAAGGAACTGTGAACTGCCAAGGAATGGATCCGCAACCCATTTGTCAACAATTAGGTGAATCCAACATGTCTTGTGTTAAAAAAAGATCAACTGCTGAAGATCACAAATGATAGTGGCCATTCACATATTGCATCTTTTCCACACACAAGTTTGTTATTTCCAATGGAGGTGCGTGGCTTGTGCGCACCTATTGGGAGTGACACACCAGGCCCACTCAGTTTAAAACATCTTCAGAATACCGCGAACGCACTGCGAGTCGCGTGATAAGAACGGTCCAATCAGTGTCATATTTTGAATGGAATATACACATTTTGGTAGACTAATCATTTCAGACAAACACTGCAGTGCTTTTTAATTTTCTTCATAAATAAAACTTGCATTAGAGCTGCAGCAATGTTTTGTCAGCTTGTCATCCTCTGAGAAAACGGATGATTGGTCTCATAGTAATCTACATACACTCTAACCCGGGCCGCAGTAAAATTGTCAAGCTTTGAATGGTCTGCAGTGATAAAAAGGTTGGGAATCATTGCTTTTGGGTGAATAAATTTTGCGGTCATTTTATTTTGGGGTGAACTATTCGTTTAAATGGTCAGTCAAGCAGTGTTTTAGTTCAGTGATCTTCTGGACACATGTCTGTTAATATACCTATTTAGTAGCCATTGTTATTAGTGAAGCCAGCAACATATTTTTTTGCTTGCTCTCCTGCACACATAATATAAAACTCTTCTTTTTCATTCTATGATTTGAAAAATAACAAACACTCTGACAGCTTCCATGCTGAGAGTAATGTTTAGATGAATGTCAATATGTGATGCTCGTTTTCCTCTCAATATAACAAACACACAAGACAAAAAAAAAAAACAGCAAAGATGAAATCATAGGATCATGGGAAGTAGTTGTAGGTCTTGATTTGTTTTTCATTTCAAGCTATTTTATTTCAATATAGAAAACTTAATTGTTTTTTATCTAAACGTTCATTCAAAAGTTGTTTGGGAAAAGCCTTTTTATCAGAAAGAACATCATCGATTTCAGAATTGATCATTAGAGTTGATTGTGCATATAGTTTTCTTTTTTAATTATCATCCGTTTTATTTTTGTCATGTGTTCTAGGAAGATTACAACCAGCTGCGACCGCTGTCCTACCCAAACACAGACGTTTTTCTCATCTGCTTCTCTGTTGTGAATCCAGCTTCCTATCATAATGTGCAGGAGGAGTGGGTTCCTGAGCTCAGATCCTGCATGCCTCATGTGCCCTATATCCTTATCGGGACACAGGTTAAAACACCATATTCTGATATTATCTTATGGTTATTGTTATTATTATTATTATTATTATTATTATTATCATGACAAATCATAATAATGATTATTTTTCCATTAGTAATGTCAAATAATTATTTGTGATTAATCACATCCAAAATAAAAACTTATTTACATTATTTGTGTGTATTGTGTACACTGTAAAAGTATCTCTAAATTAACAGTTAATTTGGTGATTCTTGTTTTTATTTTATTTATGCTTTAGAATTGCATTATAGGAGCTTAATCTTTCCTCCCGACAACCTTTGATGTAGAAAAGTTTGAAAAAGTGACTTTTCTTGACATTTTAAATAGTTGGATTAGTCAATGGATTAGTTAAGAGGAACGAATGGTAAGGACTTGCCGTAAGTAGACAAAAAAATAAATTCTGAGAACTACAAAAATTAAGTTGTACCTACAAAATTAATTTCCACTAAATAAAACAACTAAGTTGCAAACTATGCTTTGGAAACTAAAAAATAAGTTAACTAGAAGAAAAAAAAAGATATTCACTAATTAGAAAAAATAAGTTGCACTAACAAAAATCGTTAAGAGAACTAGAAAAATAAAGTTGGGGTGACGAGAAAAAAAAAACTAAGATTATCATTATAACTGTTATCACTGTTAGAACAAATGAAATACAATCAAGATATTTAAGAAGATGAAATGAGGTAAAGGTCCCTGTAGAGAAATGCAATCTGGCGTTATGTAAATTCTTTGACTAAACCCAGCAATAGTGTGCAGTGTGTTTTTTTAAACTTCTGCTTTATTTCTTTTAGATTGACTTGCGAGATGACCCAAAGACACTGGCCCGTCTGCTGCAGATGAAGGAGAAACCACTGACCTATGAGCAAGGCCTTAAACTAGCAAGAGAGGTGCTGCATCTTCATATATTTGCTTTGGTTTAGTTTAGTCATCTTTTATTTGTTGTTGATTTATTCAGTTTTCATAAAACAGTATCATTCCACCATCATAACAGTGTGGAAAAAAACACAGAAGTGATTAGTTAGGCCAGGGGGAAAAAGTCAGATCTCAACTTCATGTTGTTACAAGACTGTATGAATTTCTTCCTTCAGTGAAACACACACAAAAATATTTTAACTAAATGTTTGAGCTGCCTTTAGTTGATCCTAGTGAGCTGCCTTTAGTTGATCCTGTAGTACTAAAAAGTTTAGTAAACAAAAATTATATTTAAAGGGTTAATCACTCAAAAAAAAGCATTTTAAACAAAAAGAAACAGGCTATTCACTTAAGTAGTTTGACCACCACTTTAGTTTAATTAACAATTCTATCTATTAACTTGTGGCGTATTACCTGCATATTATTAAAATATTGGCTGTTTGTTAGTACTTAAAGTACATATTCTGCATGATCTTATTCTATATCCCTAACCTGATTGTGATTTAGTGCGTTTATGTAACAAGTATGTCTCCAACATTTATTAGATTTGCTAGGAATATTTATGAATGTCTCCAATAGACCTACAGAGCCGTATTAATGCGTCCTGAAGTAAAGTGAAATGGCTATACATCGTGTTTGCTGGCCTCATGCATCACACACCTGTCAGTCAGTCAGTCAGTCAGTCAGTCAAGTACAAGCCTGCAGTGGGACTACTTTTCAGCCCTGGAGTTTCAAGCCTTAGACCGTCCCACCTCAGTTCACGACTGACTATATTAAAATAAGGTAATTTCCAATTCAGTTTTTAATGACACTACAGCGTCTTTTTCAAGGAAACAGCTGCTTTAGAACTTCAAATGTTTAACAACCCTAACAGTATTATATGTCTTAACAATAAAAATGAAAATAACATATGAATGCATATTCAGGTGAGATTCAAACACGGGTCGGCGGCGTAGTAAGACAACGCACTGACTACTGGACCACAATAGCGCTGTTGTGTTGGGAAGAAAAATATAAATTGGACTGTGACTCACCTCGATCTTTTTCTCTCCCTTCAAGATTTCTGATCAAATTATATCAGACTTATTACGTAGTGAATCATCTGATTTTCATTGAGCAGGTGTATTATTCATTAATATTAATTATTTAAATTCATATATTCACTAAGGTGCTGTTTGGGGTCGAATGATGATTTACTATTACGTAATCATTACCCTCCGGGCTGCATTTTGCTCACGGTCTGCGAGAAAATAAATAAAAAGAGCGGAGCTGCGACAAAATAATGAATAAAAAGAGTGAGGCTATGGTCAAATACATGAATAAATGAAAAGAGTGTGACTGCTGAGAGTGCAAGCAGCTAGGGACACCGGCCCTAGCGGCCAAAAAACAGACCGGCCCACCGGGAATTCTTCCGGTCCTCCCGATTAGCCAATCCGGGCCTGGTCAAGTCAGTCACCATGTAACCTTAAAGGGTTAAACAAATGACGCACAGCACTACTGCGGTTACAGAAAAGTTTGCGCTGTTATAATTCACTTATTTTTTTAAACTTTTTGGTGCGGTTATCACCCGCTTTTAAAAAACAAGACTGAATGTTTTGAATGGAAAGCTGTAATGTTGCCGTGGCGGGATCAATTTTGGCGTGGCGCCCCGCCATGGAAGAATAAATGTACCAGAAACCATGCATAACCATTACATTAATAGCTATTAATAAACAGCAAATTAGGAGTTTACAGAGGCAAAACTCATAGTAAATGGTTCATTAATAGAAATGTGTTCATATTCACATCACAAAAACAATTTAAAATTATAAACAGTCAAGCCCAAAAATATTTCATATCCCTGGCAAATTCTAACTTTAAAAAGTTACTTTTATTCAACCAGCAAGTTTTTTTAACCAGATTTGACACAGGCTTTTCTTCCAAAAGTTAATAAGACGATGTACAAGAGGCATCATTGTGGAAAAAATATTTCTTTAAGCAACTTTGATTGAAAATTTACCAGAGGTATGAATAATTTCAAGCTTAACAGGATATGAAACTAAAAACAGTGCTAAAAGTAAAAAAAGAAATGTATGGATATAAACAAGTAAATGAAATCAGTATGAACAAAGTCCATCTTTGTATGTGTATATATTGTTGAATGCAGTTTAAATGTAGCATAAATGGTGTTAAGAGGTTACTGTTTTTATTGTAGACAAAAAATAAATAAAAAATTAAATGTGCTACTTATAAATAAGAAGCTATAATAAGTGGTAGGTTGTAACTCTGTTGACATTTCTATTCATAATTAGTGTATAAAGCACTCATAAAAACACTGCCAATTACACAATTGACTTCATAATTAACAGAAATGATCCTATGAAATAAATGAATATATAATATTACATGAGCAATAGTCTTAAATGTGCATTTTTTTGCAGCTAAAAACATTGACAGAGCTATTTAAAGTAGCCCTGTGATCAGAAATATACAGAAGCATGCAGCAGTCAACACGTCAGTCTTTCTTCTATGTGAAATAACAATAAAGACCAGATTACACAGATTGATTATGGCCTCAGAGCTCACAGTCAGAGGCTATTAGTCCCAGCAGGCCCGTTTATAGCCCTCACACACACATTAACCAACAGTGAAATAGCTCCTAATACTTTCTAAATGTCATATTACCGAACGCACAAAACTGATGTAAATGATGTATTTGAGTCCATCCCCTCAAACCTACAGCTGAATGTACATTATTGAATATTGCCGTCCACAGATTGGAGCCCAGTGCTATCTGGAGTGTTCGGCGCTGACTCAGAAAGGACTGAAGACAGTGTTTGACGAGGCCATCCTGACAATCTTTAGCCCTAAGAAACAGAAACGGGGTTGTGCGGCCTGCAGGTGCTGTTGTGCTCTCGTGTGAGGATAAAGCATCTCCAGCTGTGAACATCCACACTCCTCCGAAAGACCCTAAACCGCCTCCGGTCTGCTGTACATCCTTCCTTTCTCCATCCGCCTGTTGTCCCTCAGGACAATGAGCGCTTTTGCCCCGGGCTTGTGTGACTCGGGGAGAGCTACACTGTCCAAAACAAGTGCCTTAATTTCTCTCCGCATTGCCTTGCAGGATCTGCTACTCGAGCCAAAGAAGTCTCCGTCTGGACTGCGGTTACTAGAACTGACGTGGCACGACTTTGCCAATCTCCAGTCAGACAAACATTTTAGATTCAGCTTTGGGCCACTGCTATTTTTTTTTTTAATCGGAGATCTACAGTGGTGGCCAAAATTATTAGTACTTCTTGATGCAACTCTGGACCACAAAAGGTCATACATGGATATATTTTTGAAATTAATATTTATACATCACCTGAAACCTGAATAAATAAGCTTTTCATTTATGTATACTTATGATAGAATAATATTTGGCCAAGATACAACTATATGAGAATCTAAAATCTGAGGATTTAGAAAAAAATCTTAATATTGACAAAATCACAGTTAAATTTGTCTAAATGAAGAGCACATTACGAATCAAACATTCAAGTGTTTGAGCAGCCAGTGCTTCACACAGAGATCTGATCTCGCCATCATCATGAAAAAAACTGAGACAGACTCAATCCAGAAGAATTGTGTTAACTTGTCCAAGATGCTTTAAGAAACCTTCCTGCAAAGCTACCTAAAAAACTGCGCAAGTTAAACGCAAAGGGTGGCTACAGCAACTGTTGATATAGTTTAGTTAGAAGTTAACCAATAAAGAAAAAATATAAAATTGTAATGTTATTTTAGACAGCGTTCTAACTTTTCTGCTGCATTTTCTCTTTGCAGGCAGGTATCTTGAAGTGTTTTGAAGATCTTTCTTACGTTTTTCTGGACTGAGTCTGTTTTGTTTCTTCTTAATAATAATGATAATAATAATAGTAGTAATAATAATAATAATAATAATAATAATAATAATAATAATAAATACATGCAAGAAACAATTATCAGGGTCCAAGCAGTTTAGTTGAATGAGTTTTTTTTTTAAATGTAGAATTTAAAGTAAATCTGTAACTAGTATATTCGTAACTAGTTCAAAGTGTTTAAAATAATACCATAAGGCAAAGTAAAAAAGTTCTACTTTTATTACAGTTGTACAGTGTGACCTACTCTTTGAAGTTGTTAAATCTTTTCATGATTCTTTTGAACATACCTGCCAACATTTGTCTCTGAAAATCTGGGGGTTGGGGGGGTGGGTTGATGTGCAGCGCGAACTGAAGAATAACTGAGGAGCATGGGGCGGGCGTTTACGAGAACTAAAGACTGGGGAGCGGGTTAGGGAATTCAGGAGTTTTCCAGGAGACAGAACAAAACAGGAGATGGGTCTGAAATACGGGAAAAACGGGAGTGTTGGCAGGTATGCTTTTGAGCCGTGATATGAGCTAGTTTTAAGTTTTTGCTAAAGAATGATGTGTGAAATTTTCTGCAATATACAGTCGCTTACATGGAGTGCAACATTTCTGTGTGGTGCCACTTTAGACTTGCACTGCATGCCGATTTCAAGAGAGTTAGACCAGTGGTCTCTTAGTTAATGCTGCTTTTATGTTTTTGAATATATACAGAGTGATTAAAAAAAAATACCACAACTTTGAAAATCTTTATTTAATCAAAAAAAAAACAAGATGAAAGCTTGGGTAATTAATCCTTTTTCAAAACTTTAGAGCTTCCTTAAATCAACGACAGAAAGCACTTAGCTCTCTCTTTTTTTCTTTGCAGAGTCCACATTTTTAAAATTTGTGGTAATAATTTTGAATCAACCTGAATATAGTCTAGATAAGGTCACATTACAAGGTACATTCATAAACATCAGATACAGAACAGCATAACATAATAACATAAACATCCATAGGAAGATATTGTACTACTACTGAGGATACAGTCTGAGAACTAAGAAGTAATACCCAGAGGAAAAAGGAGACAAGGGAGCATTCACTGCAAAAAATTATTTCCTCATTTGGAAGGAGTCTTGTTTCTAGTCGAAATATCTATTTAGTCAAGATGCATTTTCTAAACAAAAAATAAATAAATAAATAAATAAATAATATTTTCAGGAAAAAAAAAGTCACAATCCAATATTTTTCCTTCAAACAAACAAAATAACCTGCTTTAAGAGAAAACTTACTTAATTTTGACTTTTTTTTTTTTTTAGATAATTTGTACTTCTTTTGAAAAAGTTTTTTTTTTTGATATTTGACTAGAAACAAGACAAAACTTCCAATTGTTTTTGTGCTTGACGGATGTCATGGGGAAGAGATTTTCACAATATGGAGGCCACAGCACTAAAAGACCAAGCTCTCATAGTCACCAGAGGAAATTTAACAATCCCTCCCTAAAAGATAGCAAAGAATGGGCCACAATGATTCTCTGTGTGGAGTATGAACTGCTCAAAAATTCTTGTGCAAAAAAAAAACAAATTCAATTAAATAGCAAAAACTGTTTGGAAATGTAAACTGACACTTCCAACTAAGACAATAGAGCAAATAAAGGAATAACTGAAATAAAATCTGGTGTAAATGCTAGTGTTCTAATAATTTGGCCACCACCATATCGTATGGTTTCTCAAGGCTTATGAAAAAAAGATGAAAATCCATTCCTCTGTAGAAGCTGGCTTTCTCTCAATCGCCTCGAATCAATACTGCGCTCTTTCTGGAGTCAATGCTTCAGCAGTTCCAGCTAGTTAATAAGGGAAATTCTCTGGAGGATAGCCAGCTCATCAATAGAGATAGAGCAGGTGGAAAGAGAGAGTCAGAAGTGCATCTTTACCACAAATCATCGGGCCATTCAAAATTAGCAACTGCAAATAGCACTGATAACGTCTACACATCCAAAGACATGTACGCTAAAGAACTTATTGGCTAAAATTAAGGACAATCAAGCATGCTATGTGATTACTGATGTCTGTCAGTTTCAGGATAAAGGGAAATGTATTTTGTGACAACATTAGCCCATGGATTACTTGTATTTGAATGGGTTTTTCCAAATCGAGATGGCCTGAAGTTACTTAGTCGTGTTTCTGCAAGCTGTCAGGCCTTGATCTTTATATGTAGGTGTAGAACAATGATGCCATATAATGGTGCTGTAATTATTATATTTTTCATACGCATTTCCATTTAAGACGGGGCCTGTATTTTATCTTCACAAATGACACTGCCTACACAATGAATGCTCTCATTTTCCTCTAATAAAAAAATGAGCCGATGGAGGAATAAAAGTGTGAGGGACTGTAAGTGGCACTTAAAAATAAAATGAAAATAATTAATCACCAAATAATTCAAAGCCCAGTAAAGTAAATATAAATAAATTCATTTAGAAATGAAGAAATAAACACACATATATTATAGGTAAAATGTTGAGAAATCATTGTAAATCTAACCTCATTCATGCCTCATTCAGCAGTTACTATGGGCTTTAACATGTAAAGCCGTCCATCATATTGGAATGGTCAAAGATAGGCTATAAACACTCAAATGTGCAAATGATTGTGCATCTGCAACTTGAACACAAAAAATTATATCTTTATCAGATGACGTTGCTGCAATAACAAATAGACAAAAGTCCAACTTTAGCGAACACAATATTACATTTTTTTAAAATGGATTAGAGAATGGGAATGTGTCATCACAGCTTAAAGAATTCTGAATCCCATTGATCTCTGGAGGTTTCTCATATCATATATACACAGATTTTTAAAAAACTGTTTAGTGCTCACATTACGAATAAAGAAATTCACACGTAAGGTTGGGCGATTTGGCCTAAAATCAAAATCTCGATTAATTGACCATTTTAACTCGATACGATTAATCAATGATAATTTTATTTATTTTATTCTTTGCCCTCGTAGTTCACTGACAGATTTTGTACAGTAAATATGTTCACATATTACAGGTGAGAGATTTTTGAATGAAGGGTGCATTATTTGACTTTAAAATAATTGAAGAAAGCACACACAATATCTACTATCCTAAATTTTTAATAACGTAATTATAATAATAATTATTACAAAGTTGACCAGCTGAAATTAAAACACTGACTAAAACAACAGTCACTATTTATTTATTTTTTTAAATAAAAAAGTTTAAATAATTAACTTGTACTTTTGGAAAAAATAAATTATTTTCAATATTTTTCGTATTAAAAGTAAAAAATAAGCAGTATCTTTTCTAAATAAAATAACACTTATAATCCTGTAAATGATATTTTAAACTTGGGTGTTTGTTTTTTCAAAACAACTTTAATCATAAGATAAACACAAAACAAAAGTCTCCATATGGAGCTCCTACAAGAGACTCGACACTTCTAAGCACTCGCCTATCTCTCTCGGCCCCGCCAACACTCATCAACGATACCAAACCAACCAAACACAGAGCTTACGCTATGCATCGTTACAATGTGTAGTTAATTTTTTTAAACGGTGCACATCAGAAGAATAAACAGAGTGGGGTCATGTGACTCCACACATGGAAACTAATTGAAAATTTTTTACCTGGAAACATTAGATCGATTATAGGTTGTGAATGTCAACTTCGATTACTTCGACTAATCACACAGCCCTATTCACACGCGGAAATGTTTTCTTGCAGCAGCTTATAAATATCGTCATTTATGGATATGCTCGTTCCTTGATATCAGGGGTATCAAACTTGGTTCCTGGAGGGCCGCAGCTTGCATGGTTTAGTTGCAACCCTGCTTTAACACACTTACCTGTAGGTTTCAAACAAGCCTGAAGGACTCAATTAGTTTTATCAGGTGTGTTTAATTAGGGTTGGAACTGAACTGTGCAGAGCTGCGGCCCTCGAGGCACTGAGTTTGACACCTGTGCTTTATATGATCCACTTCTGCATCCGTGCACAGCTTCTAGTTCCATTTTAGTCTTGGTAACAGAAAATAATT